CCTGATTTGCACAGAAGCCAAGAACTGTCAAGAGCTGTTGGGTAAAGGGAAGATCCTGAGCGGCTGGTACACCATCTACCCCCAAGGCTGCAACGCCACCACCGTCTTCTGCGACATGGACACAGATGGCGGAGGGTGGATTGTGAGTAGGATCAGGAGAGGGAGACTTCTATGTCCCTACAGTGATTCTTATTAAGGCTGCAAAGGATAGCAGCAAAATAGAAACAAAAAGGGAAGAGAACACACACTGAGGAGACAGTTGAAGTTCACATCAATCAGCCTGGGTGAATCCCTGTGGCTGTAAAGGATTCTGCCTGGAGATGTCTCTGGGAGAAGGCTGAGCACCACAGACTCACTCGCTGCTTAAATCGGCAAATCATTTCCTCCTCATTTCCAAGGGCAGATGGAGGAGATGTGTGAGCAATGGATTCCCCTGGGGTTCAGTCCCCAAAGACCTACAGGAATGTCCTGACACAAGGGGGGCATTTGCTGCAGGGGCTGTGCCACCTAGGCGTTGCAAATGTTTTTGGGACTGGACGGGGCCGGGGGGGGAGTGGCCTGGCAGGTCTGAGGCTTTCATTTCCTGCAGGTTTTCCAGAGGCGCTGGGATGGGTCAGTGAACTTCTTGCGAGATTGGGATTCATACAAACGAGGCTTTGGCAACCAGCTAACGGAGTTCTGGCTGGGGAATGACAACATCCACTTCCTCACCTTGCTGGGTAAGGCCTGCCTCCATCCTGGGATGGGGCCCTGAGAGTCCAACCCCTGTACCACACTTGGTCCTTAAAGGACTCTGAACTTCTTGCATCCATCCAAGGCCCCAACAGTTAATCCTAAACAGCATGCAGGCTTTTACAGCCCATTGCACACAGGAGATTGCACTCTAAAAGAAGAAAGACCAGAAGCCAGGGAAGAGAATGAGCTGGCTGTATGACTTATCCTGGAGATAGGCCAACACATCTCCCTACTAGGACTGGTTGTGGTCTTGTTCACACACAGCCTTGGAGTCACAGCTGTGTGCAGGACTCCTGGGCATGTAGCTCTCAGTGCCCGTGACCACCCAACATCAGATCAGAAAAGGTGCTTCACAAGAAAGCCATCAAATGTACAGGATGTTCTGCAGGAATTTCAAATAAATCATAATCTCTCAAGTAGCGGAAGCTCCTCTCAAATTAGCTCAGAGCTCCTTAAACCCTCCACTGTGAAATCCAGGTGCGTGCATACCCACCATCAGCACTGCACCACCACTGTCCACCTTCTTTTCTAGGACCCTGTGAACTCCGCATTGACCTGAGAGACTTTGAAAACAACTACTATTTTGCCAAGTACGCTTCATTCAGAGTTTTAGGAGAGTCTGAGAAATACAAACTGGTTCTAGGAGACTTCCTTGGTGGAAATGCTGGTAAGTTAGCAGCAGCTCACTGGGAAAGGCTGTTTTCTAGACCATTTCAGAATTGTTCAGCATTTACAGTGCAGAGCTGTATTGTGCAAAGCCCTTGCACCATTTTGGGTCAATTTTTTAAAACTAGCCATGGTACCCCAGAGGCCGAGTGACCTTTGGGTGCAGGCAAGGAGAGGGACACCCACAGAAGTGTGACCCAGAGCATTACCTACAAGCCCAGCCACATGGTTTAGCAGCAAATGTGGAGCCTGGTCCTGAGCAGCACCTCATCCAATATAACTTTCCCAACAGCACTGCAGCAGTCAGGCCAAGTTCTGCTTTTGGTTACACTGGAAGGAAATATTTGCCCATGAGGTTTTGCATTTCCAAAGCTGGGGTGCTGTTCAGTACTTGCAGCATCACCACTGCATCCTCTTAATGCCTAATGTTTTGTTTTTCTTTAAAAAGCAAACAAATCCTTTGCAAAATTCAATACCCCTCATTCAGGAATGAGTGAAACTTAAACCTGAGATAGTAGTGCTCTGGGTTGACATGGCTTTCTACACTGCAACTCTGTCTGATAGTCCAGACCTCAGTATGTCTGCCGAGAATCTGAGCAGTGCAAGTGACACCTATGTAACTGCAAGGGGAATCTGGCCCATTTGATTCACAGGGATAGATAAGTTGTCTGTGTGTTTTAGCAGTCCTGGCAGAGCTCGGTATACTCCTTTTCTCCAGGACCAAGGTGGAAACCTGGGCAACCAAGAGAACAGCAGGATTTATAAAATCTGCCTTGCATCCAGCAAGGCTCACTGATGCCCTGCAGTGCTGCACAGACATGTTAGGTTCCCTTTTGTGCTCTCTATTGCAGTAACTGTGACCGTGTACTCTCTGCAGGAGACTCCTTATCATACCACAAGGACATGCCATTTTCAACAACAGACCGGGACAACGACATGAGCAACTTTAACTGTGCCATAGAATACAAGGGAGCATGGTGGTACAATGACTGCCATTACTCCAACCTGAATGGGATGTACTGGCTGGGCGTTCACGGGAGCTATGCTGATGGCATAAACTGGAAGACGGGCAAAGAATACCATTACTCCCATAAGAGAACAGAAATGAAATTCAGGCCAGTTTAACATGGCAAGAGGGTGTTTGACTAGCACTCAAAGGCGCCACTCAACAGCCAAAAGAAGACACAAAACATAACCGTTTTTGAGGGCAAAATTGGACCAGGAATGATATTACAGGTCGTGCCTTCAGCCTAGCGCAGTCTTTAAGAGACCAGAAGTGATTGGCGCTGGTTTGAGCACCAGACTCTCACCCTTGACTATCTCCAGCAGCCTCACAGATGCTAACTGAGCCTGAGCATCTTTTTCTGAAAAGTGTATTACTTTGATGTAAAGATCAAGTGGTGAGGCTACTGCATCTCAATAAAGCTCTCGGATATTACCCTAAGAGGTGATTACTGGTCATTTTTAGTCTAATCCATGTATATAAAGCCTCTGGTGTTTTTGCAGCCTCTTTTCTGTTGGACCCAAGAGCCATCTGAAAGGCACTGCATTCCCAACCCCGACTCTCTCCCTGCAGGCTGTGATGAAGCCACGATGTAGGTCAGTATGGAAAGGACTCAGCTTCCAGCACAGGGCATCAGCACTGCCATCTCCCACCTTCCCTCCCCACCACCTCACACAACATGTGCTCCAGGACCTCCGATGAGACCTCAGCTCCTGGAACCACAGTAGCATTGCCCAGCACTTCCCATCATGACACAGCTGCAGCTAGGCCCAGAGCCAGCTTGTCACTGCTCCAGGGCACGTTGCTAGATCTCATTCTTCAGCTGCTGTGGACCAAGAGCTGGATACGAAACAGTCTGTCCAGCAACATGTGTGGTACCAAGACACTACAGTAGTCCCTTTGCACAAGTGGACATCATGTAAATTGCCAACAGGTGCCAGTATTTTCCATTTCACCTTGTTTCCAATAGCATTTGAAGACAGGCTAGCTGCTGGCAGATGGAGGCAGTTCATCCAGTTCGTGTGGCATTGTATTTGACTATTATCAGTACTGGTTAAAGGATCTCTTCTTCCTGGACTCCTCTCCACAGCTGATGCAGAAGAGGAGAGCCTAGTGCTAACTCCTCACTGCAGGGACAGACCAGAGTCAATGGAAGCAGAGTATTTATTTGTGTTATGTTCCTAAACCTTCCCAGGTTTATCACACTACTTATTGCACAGATGTGTAGCAAGGGCAGCTCCAGCCCTACAACACTGAATCCAAACTTTGTGGTTGAGAAAATGGAAGAAGCCACTCACCCAGCACACCACAGCAGATCAACAATGTGCTAAGAAATAAATAATGAGGTTTTTGCATTGCCCTATTCACTATGTCCTGATCCTGCTGAGTTCTCCTTTTCAGGTACATAAGAAAGTGCGTGTCTGTGCAGAGAAGCACACAATGTACATCCTATAGTCACTTCCTCAGCTCCAGGAGTTCTGTTTTGATTTTCTCCTACTCCCAGTCAGACTGACAGGCCCTCAGGAGGAGGAGCAAGGTCCCACAGCATCCAGCTGTGTCTCACCCAAACAGCTGATGCTGTTGTCCACCAGCAGCTTCTCAGAGAGGCCCAAGGGGCTGCCACAGACAACTCTGCAGAGACGTATGAGCTGGTGTTGACATCCTCAGCTTTAACCTAGCTAAAAGTGCTGAATCCCCTTTGTCTGCTCCCCTGGATCTTCTTCTCTTACTACACAGAAACCTGCAACATTTAAATTTCATCAGTGAAGGACACCAATGCTAGAGGGATTAAGAGAACACCAAGAATAGTTTACTCAAGCCCATCTAGTCAATATTCCCAGACCACCACGTGACTCCATAGAAGAAATATTCAGGTATGACAAGCCACCACCAGTGCTAGGTGAGGTAGTTTGGATCTGGCTGCAGAGTGAAATTCTCCTGTGTACCCTCAGCTGGCACAGTAAACCATGGGCTGGCACTGCATCCCCTCCAGCACAAGCACCAACCACTTCACAGCAGGAAAATGCTCCCTGGGCTGATACAGGCATGTGAGGAAGAGGGTCCTTGGGTTTGATGGTCCACCCTGGGCACCATGCCTACAGCAGTCACAGAGAGGGCTTGCACTGACTCCAGCCAGGAAGAATTGAACCACTAAGGTCAGGATCCAGTTCCCTAGACACACACATATATATATTACTAGCCCAGAGCTCCCACCTCACCTCAACAGAAGGGTTCCCACTCCTCCATCAGCTCTCACACCTGACTAGTGGGGGAAGAGGCAGGGAACAGATTTCAGATGTCCTAGCTCCCCAAACTGTAAGGATAGCATCCAGTCCCTCTTTGTTTTCCATCCTCTTGCCAAGGGTCCCCAGAAGCAAAGCAGAATAGTCCTAGTCAGTCTGTGACTGATCTTGGCTACTGCTCATCTTGGGGCTTTTTCTCTTTGTCCTGGAAAGCTCATGGATCAGGTTTGCATTCTGTGATTGAAAACCCTCTTCTGCTCATTAGTGGATGTGGAAAGGGCCAAACCTGAAGCCTAGAAATGACAACGTCTCTGGAACTTCTCCAGACATTTCCCTTGTTGCAAATAATGGCAAGTAAGGCTGGGGGAGTCACCAGAGGAGCAGGATGGGCCAGGCTATGGGGTGGGGGAGAGGACCTGGTTTCTGCCATGTTAGGGAGCCAGACACATGATGAAAGGCTGGAAGCATCTTTAATGGCTTATTGATGCATAGCCATCTGAAAGCAAAGGCAAGGCCAAACTAGTCCTCTCAGGTTCCACCTAGGCCAGCCGCCTGGCCAGATCAAGGCTGCCTCCAGTGATAAGCTCCTGCATCGTCTGGGACATGAGAAGATCCAGCAGCCCAAACCACCCATGGGATTACTGCCAGCCTCCAAGGGCTACACAGCAGTTCTTTCCAGGGAGGAAGACAGCACTTTGGCCCAGAGATTTCATACCTATAAATCTGAAAGCTGATTGGCTTCAAGAAACTGGACTTCAGGATTGTCACCGTTCAAGGCTGGGCCAGCGCTT